GGGGTCTAAAAAGCCGTACTAAGCAGGTATATACAAAAGTATGAAGGCTATTGCTTAATGCATTGTAAGCCGCCCTGAGTCTCCGGAGAAGGGTGGCATATAAATCAAACTAATAAATAAATAATAGGTTACATTCATGCTAACTTAATTATCTTTACTTCCCACTGAAAATAATGGAAATGTTAATCTTGCCATTTATTTTATTACTTACTTTTTGAAGATCTTACTGTTTTTGAAGATCTCTAGAGGTCCAGAAGAGGCTGACCCACTGGCAGAGAAGCCAAAGTGTTTTATTCAGATGATAGTGAAGCTGTAAGAACGTGAAATCTAAGGAAAACATTTGCACCAGCTTCTGCATAAAAGAGTTCGGCTAGGGCCATGTGGCTAGCAGCCTTCAGGGATTGAGGCAGCTTCAGGGATTGAGGCAGCAACAGCAGCAGCCAATGAAAGGGGAGGTAGTTTCCTTTGTCTCATTAGACTGAACTGCAAGGCCCTTGTTGATTGGCTGCCATGCCCCAATCCCTGAAGCTGCTCATTCAAACTAGCCAGTCAGCAGCAAGCAGACTGGGCCCAAACTAAGCCTGACCAGACTGGGTAAAAACTATGTCTGCAGGCCCTCATGGCAGAGAAGCCATAGTCTTTTATTCAGATGGGGAAAGCTGTTTTCCTTACATCTCATGTTCTTATAGTTTCAGCAGCATCTGAATAAAACACTTTGGCTTCTCTGACACGTGGCTCAGTCTCTTCTGCAGCTCTTCGAAAAGTAAGTACAGTAAAGCCATGGGAAATGGGGTGGGGAGGGTGGATCGGGGCCAGGGACCCTCCATTTCGGCCTGTAGAGGCCGGGGGAGCCCTAGGAAGGCCCTGTAACAGGCCGTTCATGCTGGCAAACAAGCAAAGGAAGGCTACTAAACAGGCAGGTAGCTGGGCCGTGTGGGAGGCTGCAGGGAAGGCAGGCTAGCAAGCTGGGCCGCACTCCCCCCCCCGTGCCTCGTTTTGGCCCTAGGAGGCCTCCCTGCCCTTACCTGGGAGCCAAAATGGGGCGTGTGGTGACTCTGGGAAGGGGCAGGAAGGGGCGGGGCCAGCCAGCAATTTAACTACCGGTTCAGCCCAGGGATGAAATGCTCCCGGTTCGGACCAGCTCAGGTGAGTAGGTAGCAATGGCAGCGGGCAGTTCGGAGAACCGGTAGCAAAAATCCCTTCCCTCCCAGCCTCCAGCTTGCTTACCTTCGCACACCTGCCTTGCTTCGCTTGCTGTAATCCCTGCAATCCATTGCATCAGCAAGCAACTGAATCTTCCTGCCTGCAATCAAGCTCAGCGGTGAACAGCTCTTTCTGCATGCCTGCCTGCCTGCCTGTAAGTTTTTTTCCCTTTTGGGAGCTTTAAAAAAAAAGAAGTTATTTGGGGGTTTTTTTAGTTGTTCTTTTTTTAGATCTAACCATTTAAAGTTTAGGAAGTTTTAAATTTAGCTGCTTTTATATAAAAATTAAAATAAAATAAAATAATATTTGTGCAGCTTTCTGAGATTTTGTGTGGTTCTGTAGTGTTTCACTCTAACTACACAAACACACAAAATCTCACAAAGCTGTATATGGAATTTTGTATGTGTAAAGTGTGAAAGTTGGTTTTTTGGACTTTTTGTGGCTGTGTGAGGTTCCTGCTTGTTGCAGGGGCCATTTTGGGTCTAGCACAGCTGCTTTTACATTGTGGGTGAGCCTGTTGTGTTGTGTGTGTGTAAAGTGTAAAAGTTGGGGGTTTTTGGGCTTTTTCTGCCTGTGTGAGGTTCCTGCTTGTTGCAGGGGCCATTTTGGGTCTAGCACAGCTGCTTTTACATTGTGGGCGAGCCAGTTGTGTTGTGTTGTGTTTTGTAGGTTAAAAAAGGGCAAAGAAATGATGTCAATTTGGCCACACCCACCTGGCCAACAAGCCACACCCACCCAGTCACCTGATCACTAAGCCCAGAACCGGTAGCGAAAATTTTTACATTTCACCCCTGGTTCAGCCAAACCAGCCTGAACCAATTGAATCCCATCACTGGGTTTCTTCCTATAGTTAGACCTTCTCCCACATTAACGGTGCTTCTAGAACATGTTAAAAGTGGAGCTTTTCTGCAGAATTTTTAATGCAAAATTCTCTCCATCATTTTATTTTGTATTGTTATTCACTGATGTTATTCTTGTATGGATTATATTGGGGATTAATGGTTCTGTTCCAATTGGATTAGTTTATTTGAAGCATACTTTTATTTTTACTATGGATGTTTTAACTTCTGATGATTTGTTATGTAAAGGATAGCATTCAACTGATTTTAATAATAAATAAACACAGCATTCCATATGGATGTTTAACCGTGAGATTTTTTTATCCCATTTTTTTTCTATTCCTATAAAAGCCAGATAGATAAAAATTAAGAACTCCTCAAATATAAATATAGTATCAGTTTTTCTGTAATGTTTCTAGTGACTAGTAACCTACTGCTTCTACTAGTAGAAGTAATATGTAATCATTTTATCTAAAAGTTATATATAATCATTTTATCTAACTTACTGCTTCTATTTAACAGAAGTAATACATAATCATTTTATGTAGCTATTCATTTTGTAATCCATGTCATATAAAATTGTCCAGTTTTATTTAACATTTCACTCAAGCTTCCCTCGGGGTGGGGGGTGGGGATAAAGAACATTAAGACAGAAGTGAGTTGCCATTGTCTTCTTCAAAGTTCCTAAAATCTGATTCTATATAAAAAGGTTCCTCATAGACTCCCTCTCTCTTAAAACTGGATCTTACTAGCACTCTCATACTGTATCAGTGTACTTCATGCAATGACATCCATAATAGAGTCATAATATCTATAGAGAATACCATACGTTAGCAATATATAAAGAATATTTATTGTTGTGTTTGCGTAATCTTTCACAATTGAGTTTCACTGGATGTCCCAAACCTATCCAATTCCTCTGTACTACACAGACTGATTTTGAAGTCTACCTTTAAACCATAATTAGTACAGAATGCTCCATCTCTTGCCTTTTCCAAAGTAAAAACCTTCAAATGTTTTAAATCTAAGGGATAAAATATTCTGTGTAATGTCAGTGCTTATATAAAGATGTAATGACATTGATGATATTTTCTTTATTGCTAAACATACTGAACCATTCAGTTAATGTCTTCACACTGCTGTCCCATGATTCTCAGATAATTCAAATCGTGTAATATAAGTTTGCAGTTTGATTTATTTATTTTACTTAGCAGCTTGCATGCAACTTTTGCTGCTACCGTGTTTCCCTGAAAATAAGACCCAGCCTTATATTTTTTTGAACCCCAAAATAAATGCTTGGCCTTATTTTTGAGGAGATCTTATTATTTTGGGGCACGTGGAGCAAGACAGGGTTCCTCTTGCCATCTTACCTGATTTTCAGCTCGGTCTCCCTAACCCTAAGCAGAGGAATGGCGGGAACCAGCTGCGAATGCATTTAAATATATTCAGGGAGGGCTTATTTTCAGAGAGGTCTTATTTTAGTGCATGCGCTCAAAAGCCTGATTGGGCTTATTATCCGGGGAGGTCTTATTTTGGGGGAAGCAGGGTATAATTCAACTTTTTCTGCTATAATTCAACTTTTTCTGCAATAATTCCTCCAGATTGAAGAAATATCAATGTCTCTTTTTATTTTAACCACTCGGAGCAATTTGGGACTTTATTGCACAGTTCTCCCTTTGTATCATTTATGAACAAATTGAAAGTGTCAATCACATAAAGTCGATTGTCTTTGCATACCAACATTGCATGAACCAAGTAGAGATACGTTATTTTACTCTCTGCTTTTTGTTTCTTATTCAGTTATCACTACAAAAATAAAATCTCTTATCCTATGTTTAATCAGTTTGCTTAGGAAACTTTCATGAGTAATTTTATCCTTTAGTTTGAAATGACAGCAGAAGAATTTCTATGGCGAAAGGACAGCCAAGGAAATGGTTTAACAGTTCTTCCCTACATCCTCTCTGATGTCATCTCTCGCTAGTCTCTTTCAGAGATTATGTGTATTTATCAAAGGGAGGCAGCTTTACGTGTGTGGAAAATGGGAATTGGAGCAGAAAGCCAGAGAGTAGCATCTGACCATTTTTTTTTTCAAATTTAGAAGTTGGGCACAAATGTGTATTTTTGCCTCCAAAGAGTAATTCTGTCCATTACCTTGAAATGTATATTTGCTGAGACCACACTTATTAGACACTAATGGAATTATTTCACTGATGTTCCTGAATTGGTGAATTCTGCAGTTAATGGGAACTGTTTATTGTAAGCCGCATGAGATCTGTCATGGAGTTAATGTGATGTACTTTTTGCTGTTTACACCCCCACTTTTTGTTGAATGGAAAAGCATTCAAACCAGTCTGCAATTTAAAGTAGCATAATTCGGTTACAGGTCCATCCCTTAAATATTCTGAAATGGCAAGTTGAGGCAAACAATTAAGTTCTCCAGTTGAACAAATATCTGCTTAATCGCCTAGAAAATTAGTGGAGTTCTACTTTACAATTCATATACCAAGATGATACGTTAAAGCAGTTTAAGTTTCTTAATCATACTAGAACATTTTATTATAAAATATCTTTTATAAAAGTCTATTTACAAAAATAGATGCATTAGAAAATGTTAGCTAGTACGGCTTCTGCTGTTAAAAGAATAACCTATACATCATAAAGTATAATGTAGGCTTAATCTCAAGGAAATACGAACTTTTTATTATAAATCAATAATAGTTTTTATAATGGACGTGTTTATTTATAAGCCTATTATAAGATTTGTAGAATATTAAAAGAAAATATACAAAAGACATATTTTTTATCTATCTATTCTAGATAGATAAATAGATATTTATCTATCTATTTCAGATAGATAAAATGATTCATGTGTTATCTGGCATTTCGTAAATTAAACTTGATACCTTAGGCAGACAACACTTGCTGCACTTACTAACATTTATTGCTTGTATGTTCTAGATGGGCAAAAGAGGAAGAAATCATTGAGAAAGAAACTGGATTCCCTTGGAAAAGAAAAAAACAAAGATAAAGGTATTAAAATGTATGGATATACATAAACTGAAACATGGCATATAGTTTACTTTTTAGTTAATTTATATATTTAGTTTTGATCATGATCTCTTTCTGTCACACATCATTTACTTCAGCTTTCCCTGGTTTGGTTCTTTAGCATCTGTTTTAACTAACTGGCATAGCTAATCAATAAATAAAGATTAAGATAACTAACTGGCATACCATCCATAAATCTGTGAACATTGATTTGGTATTCTTAAAATTGTAATCCAACATTTCTAGAAGCATGAGAAGACTAATATATAGAATATAATAATATATTAGTGATTTTTTAAAAAATGAAAATAAATATTAACCCAATGTAGGAAATACCAGCAAATATTATTTGCCCAACTTCTTAAAATAAAGTTCCCAGCTGGTTCTTTATCCTAATATGCCATTGATAGTCTTGATTAAAAAACAAAAGCAAAAAGAGTTATAAGCTGTGAGGCTACTACAGGTAGTCCTTGACTTATGATCACAATTGGCACTAGATTTCTGTTTGTACGTCATAATAGCTGTAAATCGAGGCACCTGTATGACATGATTTTAGGAATTTTTTTGAGGTTAAACAAACACCATGGTCATAAGTGTGAAGCCATTCTTCTGAATGGATGCCCCCCCGAATAATGATCACGTGACCAGAGATGCTGCAACTAAGTCATGAAGGTGAGCTGGTTGCCAAGCAAACAAAATGCATTCACTTGACTATGGAAGTATGTGAATAATTTTTTTAGTTTTATTGCCCACAAAACATTCATTCTGGGCCTGTCATAATTTTGAATGCACATTAAGTGACCGGTTGTAACTTGAGGACTACCTATACTCCTAAATAGGTACTCTCTAAATATATTTAGAAAAACTGTGCTAATAGAACATTATGTGTTCTTAGAATAACAGAGTTGGAAGGGACTTTGTAGGTCATTTAGTACAATTGCCTTCTCAAGCAGGAGACCCTATACCATTTCTGACAAGTGGCTGTCCAGTCTCTTCTTGAAAGCCTCTAGTGATGAAGCACCCACAACTTCTGAAGGAAAGCTGTTCATTGGTTGATTGTTCTCACTGTCAGAAAATTTCTCCTTATTTCTAGGTTAAATCTCTCCTTGATCAGTTTCCATCCATTGTTCCTTGTCTGGCCTTCAGGTGCCTTGGATAATAGGTTCTCCCTCTTTTCTCTGTGACAGCCCCTCAAATATTGAAACATTGCTATCATGTCACCCATGGTCTTTCTCTAAACTAGACCAGCCATGCCCAGTTCTTGTAACGTTCTTCATATGTTTTAGCCTCCAGGCCTCTAATCATTTTTGTTGCTGTTCTCTGCACTTTTTCTAGAGTCTCAACATCTTTTTTATTGTGCGGTGACTAAACTGGATGCAGTATTCTAGGTGTGGCCTTACTAAGGCTTTATAGTGTTGTACTAATATCTCATGTGATCTCGATTCAATCCCTCTGTTAATGCAATTTAGGATTGCATTGGCTTTTTTGGCTGCTGCTGTACACTGCTGACTCATATTTAATTGATTGTGGTTTTTCTTTTCTTTTTCTTTTTCTTTCTTTGGTTTTTCTAAGTGTAAGATGTTACTTTTTTCTATGTTGAATTTTATTTTGTTAGATAGGGCCCAATGTTCAAGTCTGTGGATATCCATCTGGATCTTGCGCTTATCATTTAGGGTGTTGGCTATTCCTGCCAGCTTAGTGTCATCTGCGAATCTGATGAGTTCCCCTTTTATTCCCTCATCTAAATCATTTACGAAGATATTGAAGAGTACTGGGTCTAAGACAGAACCTTGTGGTACCCCACTGCTTACTTCTCTCCATCTAGATGTAGTACCATTAAGGTCGACTCGTTGAGTATGGTTTGTCTGTCAGTTACAAATCCATCTGGTGGTGATGCTATCTATCCCACTTTTTCTAGTTTACCAAGAAGTAAGTTGTAGTCTACTTTGTTGAATGCCTTAATGAAATTAACTATACGGTATACTATGTCCACAGCATTTCGCTGGTCTACTAATTTAGTCACTTTGTCAAAGAATGAAATAAGATTGGTTTGGCATGATCTGTTTTTAACAAATCCATGCTGGCTTCTAGTTATAATTTTATTTGTTGCTTAGATGTTCACAGATCTGTTTTTTGATTATCTTTTCCAGTACCTTCTCAGGTATTGATGTTAGGCTGATTGGTCTGCAGTTTCCTAGGTCTGATTCCCCCCCCCCTTTTTTTTTTGAAGATGGAAACCACATCAGTTCTTCTATGGGCATAAGCGTATACATGGAACATGTTTCGCAGATCACAATAGTATCAGTTCATTTAAACATGTCAAAGTTTAAAATTTTCAGTGTTGAAGTTTAAAATTTTCAGTGTTGAGTGGGGCTTAAATGCAAGGTTCATTCTTATCCTGTCATGGAGTACTGTTAGAGTATTATTTATAATAATCCCTCTCCTCTTGTTGTGATCCTTTCCCTCCTTGCCTTCTTATGAGCTTTATTTATCCCCCTCTTCTCTGCATTTTCATGTTCCGTACTTGTTATTGTCTACTCAGTCTACATATTTATGCCTTTATTCTTTGCCTTGTGTTCTGTAGTTGTTTTTATCCTCTCTTCCTACTTGCCTTATGCCCACCATTATCGGATATTCATCCCTCCCTGCTTTTCTTTGTCCATGTCATTGCCCCCCTCCCACCCCACCCCGACTGTTGGTCTGCCATGCTGTTCTGTTGCTGCTCACAGTCACTGGTTCTCTGGTCCCCACGACAACCACCAATTCTACAGTTGCTCCCTATCGCTTTCCTCCCTGCCTTACATGCTTCTCTCAGGCTCTGGTTCGTTGTACTGTATAACTGTATTTATTACAATTACACTTGGTCAGTAGGAGCTTTGTGGCTCTCGTGGTTAGGACACTTGAGTTGGAGGTTAGCAAGCCCGTGTTCAAGATCCAAGTGCTGCAGTGGGATGGAATGAGCTTTTGTCCTTTGCTCCAACTCCTGCCAGGGACATGAAAGGAGCCCCCAACTGGTGTCCCCAATCAACAGTGATGTAATCGGCTAATCCTTTCAACTCGGAAGTGCCTTGGTACTTCTGACACGAGTGCAAAGTCCCAGAAATATGAATATTTCGGATTTTGGAATACGTCACTAAATCCCTATTTCTAATTTAATTAAATACAGGCATGAGTAGGCCTCCCTATCCATAGTGTAATTGCTTGGCTGCAAAGTTACAATTAAGAATGTTTTTTAACCCATTAGAACTATTTTGTCAAGTAGTTTGTGAGAGATATAAAAAGTCTTACCTGACCTGAATATGAATGGTCTTGTATATACACTATAACAATTATATATATTAATTATATATATATATATGTTCAGTAATATTTCAAATAGATTGATAAAGAGACACAGAGAGAGAAAAACCCAGCTCTGCATCATATTTAAAATTTGACAGTATTTTTGGGTGTGAAGGCACAGATCGGAAAGACAGGTCTGTTAAGTGTTTTCTCTAAAGTTGGTAGACTGATGATAAACGATACACAGTGTTAGATTTCTTTAAGGGCGCTATAATTCTTTTAGTCCTTCCCTCTAAATTGCTTTCATTTTCATAGTCTCTTTACAAGTATTTTCTGAGTATTTTCTTAGTCCACCAGCTCATGTTACAGCAATATTTCTTTTTTAGAATTTCCATGTGGATAAGATACTTGGAAGTAGACTTCACCTTTTTTCTTGGAATATAAACAGTTTCTCCTTTGCCTGCCCATAGCTCTCTGCTCTTGGCTGACTCTGCTTCTTTTTTGTCAATCCTGTGTGATTTATTGTGCTCCCATTTCATTTTTTTTCCTGGATACATATCTTGTCTTGTTTAGATGAACTTATATGCTGTAGGCTCAAATATCCATTTCATTTGTGACACACTCCAAACTCCAGCACCATCAGCAGTCCCACATTCCAGCCTCAGCTGTCTTGCCTCGAGCCATTTCCTCTACTTCCTATGAATTCTATTTATTGGCTAGCAGCTGGCAAACAGGGTGAAAACATATGAAGATTTTTGTTTCTTCTAGAATAATTTGAAAGTACTGAGCAGTGAAGAAGATTGTTCAGAAGATTGTTGTTTTTACAAAATAACAGAGAGGATTAAAAAAAAAATTCCTTCTCTGAATATATGCATTAAAGAATATGTTCACATTTTCCAGCATCCTCTATGTGAACTTCCTTCTATAGCCTCATCAACAAGTAGACAAGTCATTACTATTTTCAAATCCTGATTCCTCCTCCATATTCGCATGTGGTGAAGAGGGGGTTGAGGGGCTTTTTAATTTCTTTTTTAACCAAAGTTTTAAGGTGTTCTGGGAGGGGGGGTAGGGTTGTGGGTTTGGGGGATAAACCACTGAGGGGGAGGCCGGGTCCGAGAGTGGGCCACGTAATGGGGTGTGCGGGGTCTGGAGTCAATGAGGGGGTTAGAGTCCATGCTGAGGAGGACGATACCATCAGTACTGTAAGTGGGAGGGGCAGATATGGTGGGAGCAGGGGGCCATATCTGGTTATGGGGGCACGCGCCCGCTGTCTCCGAGCAGTGGCATGCTCCGGCCCCCAATGCTCCTCTCATTCCCCAGGTTGCACAGATCCTCAGGGCCCGGGCCTTTGGCTGATGTTGTGCAACGCCAGGTCCTTTGTAAATAAAGCCCCTCTCATTTGTGATCTTGTTCAAGAGGGGGGAGTGGACCTGGCGGGTATTACGGAGACCTGGTTGAGCCAGGGGGGGGGGGTTCCCCTTGTTGAAATGTGCCCACCAGGCTTCTGAGCATTCCATCAGCCGAGGGTTCAGGGGAGGGACGGGGGGGGTAGCAGTAGTTATAAAGGATAAGTGGTCCAAAGGAGGCCACTGTGCCTCAGATAGCCGGATGTGAGTCCCTCTTTGTGAAGTGGGGTCATGGGGTGCAGGTGGGCCTGCTGATCACGTACCTGGCTCCCTACCACGTGGCGACAGCCCTGC